GAACCTACAAAAGGAATACGTCTGTGATAATTATGCTAAAAATCTAGGGCATACAGTTTTAAGGCTTCCACCTTACCACTGAATATTTAATCCCATTGAACATGTTTGGCACCAACTGAAATCTGCCATTCGTCGTAACAATGTTTTTCCCCGTATTAACTCCAATGTCCTCAAATTTATAGAAACCGAAGTTTTTGACATCTCTCCCAAAAATTCTGTTAAAAAAGCAGAACAATCGTAAATCCATATTGCAAATAATATAGAAAAAATAATAATTAGAACAGGCGATGATAGCGATAGTGATACTGATATATTATGTGAATAATTTTAAGTAATTTAAGTAGGTAATTAAAATAATTTGTAATTTTATTTTAGATTTAAACATAAATACATACATAAATAAATAAACATTGTTTAGTATCTTTCCCAACGAAACCCCAAATAATTAAATTCTAAGCAAAGTAGGGACCTGTGCGGCCATATTTCTTTCTTACAGCTTGCCCGGGTCTTTCCTTAATTTGTATCAGTTAGTCACTTTCTTATATCTATGAACAGACTTTACAGAGTAAAAATCCAGCCAGTCAAGCTTTGAAGAAGCCAACAGGATGGTTAGCAAGTTCGATTCAGCAAAAACCGACGCTGCGAAAGTTTCTTTGAAAAATCAATTATTTTGTTATTAATATTCGATAGGGTGGAATTAGTTTTATAATCTATTTTTAATGTTTGCCACGTTCTTTGGACCTTACCTGGTAAAAATATATTTTCTGGGCGGTTTTCGGTGTACGGCGTATGCAGGCGATTGCCAGTTTTAATTAACAGGACTATGCCGATTAACATTCGAAAAAGTTTCCCGTTTCAAGTTGCTCGCGGCACATACACCACTGCTTAAAGTGCACGAGTAACTCGACTAATCAAACTGTCAAAACAAATTTATGCAGCTAATAGTTAAGCAGCGTTTAATAGCAAAAACGGTTAGAAGGGTGGTGCCGTATACTCGCTTCGAAACTCCAACTATTGTAAATTACAAAGTGTGTATAAATAATTGCGTTTTCTATGCACGGGTTTAATTCTCATAGTCCGCGAATTAGTTTAATGCTAAATCGGATGCGATTCTCAGATGTTTCTTCACACGGAACTGACGTTTTACGGTGCACTGTTTAATGTTTGTTGTCATTAAGTGAAACGACCGTACTGAAAGCGAAAAGCCGGACTGTGCACCAAGTTAAAAGAAAATAAAGCGGAATTATACTATCGGTATTAAAATGCACTCAAGATTGTATAGACGTTGCGAGGAGGTTAGTGGGACCTCTCAATTTTCAGTCTGCAGACATTAGTTCTGAACTGTCTGGATCAGCGGAAGGACGTATTCGTATGTTTCATAGATTATGAAAAAGCATTCGACAACATCAGACATGCCTGCTAGATCTGGGCATGGATGACAAAGATGTAAGGATCATGGGCAACCTGTACTGGAACTTCGGTTGCCAAACTTGAGCACAACGGAGGAATTCTAAATCAAGAATGGGGTAAGACAGGGTTGTAGATTATCCCTCATGCTTTTCAACCTGTATGTAGAAAGGGCATTTTCCTTGAGGCGGCCTCTTTGAACATCCTGGGCATCAAAGTTTAATACAATTAATAACATCCGTTACGCAGACTACATTGCGATACTCAGTTCTGACCATCTTCAAATGATGCTCAACTACATAAATGACTCAAGCCTTACGTCAGGTCTAAAGATAAATATAGATGCCTGTTTAATGACAAATGGGATCCGGACCCAGAGACCGATATCAGAAGCAGGATTGGACAGGCCCGTGCGGTTTTCCTGCTCCTCCGTAAGTTTTTAACCGATTACAGACATTTACATGGTATATTCTTTTATATGGCATGGAAGCGTGGACACTTAAGGTGTCGTCAATAAATATAATCGAAGCATTTGAAATGTGGACTCTCCGTCCTATGCTTAAAATCTCGTGGATGGAGTGGGTTACTAACGTGGAGGTACTTCGACACCATCAAAGCAAGAAGGTTGCTTATTTCGGACACATCTCATGCGAGGCAGTAAATAGGGTTTCTTGCAGCTGATACTCGAAGGGAAGATCGAAGGAAGAAGGGGCTTGGGACGCAAGGGACTATCATGGCTAGGAAATATTAGACACCGGACGGGAATGCATGACTTTGAGACACTTCGCAGTGCGGCTATGAACAGGCTAATATTGAAGCGGCCTACGCAGTACATTCTGCAGGGCACCAGAAGAAGAAGAAGAAGTTCGAAGTTAAGACTGGACTGATGTAAAATGCGAATTTGGGTTACACAGTCGCGAATTATCCATTTCAAATGATTTTTTTTTTGCTTAGAAAAACTTACTCGTTTATATTTTGAAATTTTGAGGTGGTTGAATTTGGCAGTATAGTAATGCTAAAAATCAAAACTAGCCAAACTGCCGAGAATATAATTTTCAAAAACCTGATTATTATTGTTAATATTACCATGAATCACCTTGTATAGGATATTTGTTAATTATGTGTGGAACGTGCAATTCGATATTGCGGTATATAGTGTCAAATAAAATTATCTAATAATAACTATCTAATTTAATCATCGATTTTTTGCTAAGCCCTTTGAAAAATTAGAATTATTTGATTTTTTATACTAATTCGTTTTTAATTAAAAGCAAATTAACAAACAAGTTGTATTATTGTTGTTACTTTGTTTTTTTTTTTTGAAAAGTATTAATTGAATGCCCATATTCAAGTGCATAACTCCTTGGGTGATGTGTATGTGTGGGTGATATATGTTTAAATCAGCATATATCGTCAGTCTCTTAGTCTTAAGCTGGCTAGGTCTCTCGACATTATAAGAAAAGTAAATACAAAGTTTTTTTAACCATTTCAAAGAATTTAAATTTATTTGCTTAATAATACTAAATATGTTTTTTAAAGCTGATTGGAATATCAAAATTTACAAAAGCACATTTTCCAAGCAGAAAAGCTTACTATGTAAAGTTGCTTTAGAACTTGCTATGAGGCTGATATTTTGGAATATTTAAAAGACAAAACATCAATTCATTTTAGAAAATACATAAAATGAATTAACAACAACAAACTTAGCATAAACTACTCAAAAACTGTTTTTTTGCCTTTTAGTTGCTATAGCAATAAATTCAAGAGAAGCTTTAACATCAAATCAATCTTGTAATATCTTGGAGTATTTGTTGATTGTCATTTGAGATGTGACCACCAGTCCGAATATATCCTTACTTGCACTTACGCCAATTACAAAAATTTTAGAGGTAGGCAAACTTAAAACCTTCTTCCATGCTCTCGCCAAATGGCATTAAAATTACGAAATTTTAGCATAGCGTTGGTTGACATACGAATATTTAGAGGGAATTAACATTTCACATAAATGGACCTTCAAAATTATTTATGAAAGGGTGTTATCCAACAACACAATGTTTTAATGAATCATGAAATTATGAACGTTCTTACTCAATCGGGACTAAACAGACAAAGAATAAAGCAAGCCACTGTCAAACCTGAGGTATCTGGAACGATAGGACAGAGTTGTTTTCTTTATCTCTCCGCAGCAGTTTCCCAAAAAATAGTAGGGTTGCTTAATAGAAGAACACTTTCATTAGGCAAAATCAGATTAAAAACATTTATTAAAACTGAAATAACTAGAGATAAAATCCATAATATAATGGATTTGAAGAAGACCTAATAATTTCAACTTAATTAATTATAAACGATTTATCCATTATTTGCTTATGATTCTTTTCTAGTTTTGTATCTATATTTACTCTGCAGGTTGGAATTAGTAATCTAATTTAAGGTTTATTATTTATTTATGAGAGACAAAATTTATAATTATTAATGTTTTCTCTTTCCTTTTTCCAGTTTTTTTCTTCTTTGCTTTGGATCTACTAAAATTTAAAAAAAATCTTCAATGCTAGAATTTGGTATAGTTTGTCCCAGTAGATTAGCTAATATAGTCGATACAATTTATGATGGCATAGTGAGTCATAAAACCAAGACAGAAGATGATTCAGTATTTTACCTGATTCCACCCGTAAAAGATTGGCAAAAGTTACCTATTAATAATTACGGTAGTTTCCAGTACAAAAACTGCTGCCAAAACTTGAAAGGCCCTCTTTAATTATTATGGATTATGGTGAAAGTGCTCCAAGTGCAACGATAAGAAAAGAAGAAATTATCAATTGGCTGCGCAGTAAGCGGATTAATTACCCACAACAAATTTGCCGAAAAAATTGCTGAAATGGGTCATTAAGGTTTAAGATTGCGTCCTTACCATTGTATATTTAATGCCATAGAATTGGTGTGGATTCAGTGCAAAATATTTTTTAATAAAAATATTGTAAGTGAGGCAAAGCACAATGATACTGCATCTGTTTGAAATTCAGCACTCCAGATAGTAACCAAAGAAAATTGGGTCAGTTGTATAACAAATACAGAAAATTAAGAAAATAATACTGTGAAAAAGAGAATATAACGTAAATGCCTATAAAATAATAATAATAATAAGGACGCTAAAAATATTTTTATTATTGGATTAGTCACTCAATAACTTAAGAGTTGACACTTTCAACAACTTATGTATCATTATTAATATTACTTTGATTCTGATGAATCTTGAACAGGATGTTTATTGAGTGATTTGACCAAATTTGGTCCAAAAATTAGAAGCGTACCTTTTTTTTTTTATTAAAAATGTTCAGTTCAAAGCCCAAATCTTTTACGTCAAAAACGGGTGTATAAAATTTTATAAGACTGCCTAGTGATAAGTTGCATCGGTAGTAGAAAAAAGCTATTTTTCTGTAAAACAACGACTCGAAATTTGTGAGATTTACACCCCTAACTCTTTGTACATAATTAACAGCCTGTATAAACAATACTTTGTTGTTTCGTTTCTTTTATGAAATTGTGTGCAGGATTAGAACGTAATTAAAAATAAAAAACCTTTTCGGGTTCCTTACCTCGTCATGATGATACCAAAATATGTAGGCCGGAGGCTCCGGACTAAATCTTATAGAACATGTCAAGTTTATCGTGCTTCCTTTGTCGACGTGGAGATCCGGACCTCCAAGTATCTGGGCAGTCGGAACTGAAATGAAAATTAAATTCAGTTGGTTTAAGCTCCAAAATTTCAAGTCTAATTCCAAAGCTTCAAAGCTGCCACAGTTGAAATTAAGAGGCTTTGGGAAGTGGATTTTTAGTCATACTAATTGAACGAAACATTCGTTACGACTTCGATGCACACTTTAACTAAATTATCAATGGGTAATAGCGGGGGAATTTGTGTTTGGGTTCACAAAACCATGCCGTTAAGGGTTAGTATATTTCATTCGGAAAAACCGTTAGTTCGTAATTTTTTTAAATACTAAATTAACCTGTCTGCTCTCCGTGCGTTATATTTTTAGTTGTCGTTTTACAGTTGTCAGCGCATTTGTAGCTTTCATCTTGGGGCTGTTCGTCCCCCCATTCGTTTTCTGCAAGGATTTATTATTTTTATTATTTATTTACACTATTCGAATATTCAATATATTGCGGTGTCTCGTTTCATTTTTAAATTAGAAATTCAAGAAGTAAAACAGAAAACGCAGGAACGTATAACAATGACTTTTGATAGGCGAAATAAGCCAATTTCTTTAGATTGTTCGTTCCTTTGAAAATAAAAGTATTTGATTATTCCCGATGTGAAGTTATTTCGCGTACCATTTTAGAAATATTCCGTACATTTTATCCGAAAGATACGTTTGGAGAATGCAGTAGACCAGAAATTTGCCCGAATAGGATCGATTTCTTGCAGTTTTCTTATTGTAGTTTTCATCTTTTTAATTCGCACGAGATTCGCGATATATAGAAAGAAAAAAATAACAGTTTCCATTCGTTTGAATTTTTAAAACGCTTAAACCATGTAAAAAACAACCCAAATTGTGTTATATGATCCGATTTTTTTAGGTTAAATATCAAAGGAGAGCAACTATTCTGCACTAACTTCCATTTGGGTTCTGATGACGACCGGAGTAAGGTTGCTTAAGTGAGATATCTGCCCTCTGGGTAAGAATTTGTATATGTTCGGTAGTAAAGAGTAAATTGGAATCAAGCAGGACCCCAAGGTTGTGTGCCGTATACTCAAGACTGACAATAAGAAATCTCTATTTGTATTCTTGCCAAATATCTGTAATTTGGATTTGAAGGAATTCAGTTTTGGCGCGTTTTTGATAACGTACCTTAAGAGGAAAATAATTAAGTAAGCTATTGAGGTCGCTCAAAACCAATTAACACCAAGAAGGAACAAAAAATGAAAAACAGTAAAAAAAATATTGCACTGTTGGTGGCAAGTGAACCAAGAAATCCTTTGAAATGAATTGAAAAAGAAAATGAATGATATTAAAGATTCACGTATTGCGCAGTGGTCACTAAATTTCAAATAATATGGTACTTTTCATCTATTAAAGCTATCGTAATAGCTTGACTTGAGACACATTTGCATTTGTGTTTTCTGTTTAAAACCATCCCGAAGAAAGGTAGTCATTGTTTAAAATTAAGACAGCATCCAAGCCAACACAATACGAGGGATTGCCAGTGAACGTTTTCATTCTAATGCTCGTTCTCATACATAAATAAATTTCGGGTAGTCTAACCGTCGGGGATTATAAAATAATAATTTAGTAGAAATTCTCGAGACAGCTCCGCACGTAGCTACAATAGATCTGTTACCTTATCGCCTCGGCGTTATTAAAAACTCCTTCGCATATTCTTCCACCCGCTTCTGTTTCTACGATTTGATGCTGTATAGCTGTATCCTCAACTTACCTACAACATTCAAATTGACGAAATAACTCCTCACTGGTTGGGTGCTAATTTGACATTCGTAGATTCCGGCGTCTCTCTTTTGAGCCCATTTTATCTGTAAAGTCCATTCGTCGGTTTCCTTATGGTTTTTGGCCTGGAATCTTTGATCACTCGTATAGGTGTAACTGCCGACGGTCAGGATGTGGATGTCTCTGTGGCGAATCCATGACACCTGGAACAGTTATGGCGTCGTTATAATGGCATTTGAAAATTTCGATATTCTCTATTTCTGAATATACGGGAACATTAATTAAAACTTTTGACATTAGAGCGGTAACGTTGTTTTGTGGTGTCGATATGAGACCCGTTTTTATTAGAATAGAAACTTCGACGCAGTTAAAAATTTATAATCACCTTTGCGCTACGCGCGTCTAAACAAGACTTGTTTTCCTGTTAGGGGGTAAATTGTATGATCATTTTAACCTTTACTGCTGTGTTGCTGTCACAGAAAACTATATAATTATACTCATTTCTAAAGTACCGAATTACATTTGCATAGAATTATAACCATTGTTTTTTTATTTTTATTTATTTACGCTATTTACGATGGAAAAAGTTTACTTTAAAGATCTGTAATAGTATATTATGCAACAAGTGCGGTAAACGGCAGATAAAGAGTTTACCAAACGTGTTGCATACTATACTTTTTCATTTCATCGTTAATTTTGGGTATATTTTTGCAAAACGACACGAATACAAACAGACAAACGTCAAAATTCAAACTGTGCCGTAAAATCTCCGAAAACATCCGATCGCCCCCGAACCCTCGCGGTAATTTCCCGGAAATGTCCGAAATGGCTCAGATCCGTGGTAAACATAACAAACGCAAGCTAGATCGGTGTATAATTAGGTATTTTACAGAAGGGTGTAGAAAATATCCTATTACGCTAAATTTTCAAAATTACTTTCATGCTATAAGGGTTGCCCCAAAAAGTTAAAAGTTGTATTTTCTAAATCGAACCCCCTGTATTTTATAACATTTTTGCATTATGCAATCAAAATAGCTGTCACGTTTAACCTCAAGGTTTTTAAATAATTTGAATCTTGTACTTGCAATTAACCCACTATCTACGAAGTATTTCAACTACAGTAAAGTGTAACCCCATGTAACCAAAATGTACTCTAATCTAATAATAACTTTCCAGGGAATCTACTTTTTAATTATCTATAGAATGAATGGTTTAACGCGTCCTATAGCTAATTCCTGACGCTCTCCCAGAATACACCCAATTATAGTTTTGGTGTAATCCAAATAATTATTGCTTCTAGTTGCCAGGTAGCAAATTTAATCATTAACAATTATAATATATAACATTTAAAAAAATATGCGATCAAGCAATTATTTTTAAATATACAACTACAAAGTATAAATCATTCTTGTAATACAAGAACTAGAGATAAGGGAAATGTGATAACAATTAAGTGCAAAAAACAAATAGGCCCATGAAGGCCTATTTTTATAATTACCTAGATGAGTGTTTACGGCAAACATCATTAATTGCTCCTAAAAATATCTCAAAAATTTATTCTGTCCTCTTCTATTCAAAAACTAAACGCAATATTAGAAAAACAATTATAAGAGTAAATAACAAAAAAAGGTAGAGAATGTGGAAAATAATAAGTCTAAGATTTGCATATAAGATTTATTTGATTTAACTTCTTTGTATTACCTAGGTTATATTTCATATAAATTAGTTTGTATTATTATTTTTAATTTAAAATTATCGTTTTCTACTAAATAAGCATTTGTCATTGGTATTATTTGTTATTATTTTATATTATATATTTATTATTATTATTATTAGATAACGTCAACCAGTTAATGAAAATTAACTAAAGGTGAAATAAATTTGAAGATAAACATATATATGCAACAAATTTTTGAATTGTCCACCTCACTTTTTAGTGTTACAGTGTCAAAAACGTCTCTAATATGTATTTTAACATTGTCTATTGTGGTTGCAAGCGTGTGGTAAACAATTCCTTTCATGAATCCCTATAAAAATAATAAGTTTAGTGAGATTGAGTCTGGGGATCTGGGGTTGAATTTTTAAACCCAATCCACCTTTTTTCAAAATTTTTACAAACATTGCCTAACTTCGTGATAATAATGAGGCGGAGTTCCATCCAGCTGAAGCCACATCGTTTTTCTAATTCTATATATAAACCTTTTATATAGGAAACGATAAATGGTGCCAGAAACCTGGTAAGTTAAGAAATATTGTGCTCTATTTAAATTATTCAAGTTGTTATTGGATTGGGATACATTTTTCTATGCCCTGTGCAATTTTACTAATTAAGAAATATGGCGTACCACATACACATTCGAGTTGAACACTGTTTATCTTCCAGTTTTCGCTTTTCAAGTTCAGGAACGTTGTAAATACCGTTTTATTGGATGATGTTTAATCGGAACTAAGTCAATATGCCGAAGAATTTCTCTACTAGTTCAATAACGATTGTCCACTGGCGGATCTATTTCAAATTTGCATAGTTGAACGTTAACCTCCACAAAGGAGGTATGCGGCAATAACTAAAGATATTCTAAGGTAAATTAGAATATGCCAGACCTTTGACCGTCTTTGCTATGTCCACGTCCAGTAAATCGATTTAAGTACATCATATCCGATCGGTTTTGATATCCCGTTTAGTAAATACTTAACTAAATCGTTAGTCAACTTGAAAGTTGTTATTTATGAAGTATTAAGGTGCTTGCAAGGAGTTTGAATGTTGATACAGTATATTCCTTAGGAAGAGAGAGTAATAAGACGATACACGGATTCGGTCGAAACTATGAACCACAGGCGTGCTGTGATATATTAATAATCGACTGTTAAACTGGCTTTCATTTTGGATTTATTATCGACCTACGTTGTTGGACTGGAAAAAAAATTTCCTTTATAAAACTTCTGGATTCCTCCTGCGTCGGTTTTTGTTGAGTCGAACTAGCTAACGTTTCGCCAATTATCCTATTGGCTTCTTCAGAGCTTGACTGAAACTGGCTCGCATTTTACTCAGTACCTATTTATATATTGTTTGAGGAGTACAAACACCGTCTCGGATGACTGATTCCCATATTGGTGACAGTTAGAGTCGGGGTTAAGATTGTTAGGTGACTCAGGTCCCTACCTGTCACCAATATGGGAATCAGTCATCCGGGACGGTGTTTATGCCCCTCAGGAGGAGGAGGAATCCAGAAATTTTATAAAAAGTATCACAGTAGCCTGTGGAAGTTTCTTGAGTGAGTATAAAATTTCTATTAATGAACAGTTAAATAAATTGAATTGCTATAGCTTGAGTTAATATCATCATTAAATCGTTTATTTACTTTAAAGGGGATATCGCTCAATATTATTTAGACTTAAAGATGTTAAAATGAACAATATAATATGTATTGTTCTTACGTGATTTAATTTTATTGTGATTCTTCATGACTTTCAAGGTCAATTTGCACTGTCTAATTTATAATTTGTTGAGTTTATGCAATTGTAATTGACGGTATAATTTTCACTAACTGTTATAGTTTTATAGTAGTTTGTTCTATAATGTTAACATCAAATATACAAAATGAGACGCACCATTCATTTGTTTTATTTGTTGGATAACTTCTACACACGATCATGATTTTTTTTATATGTTCACTCTGCTTAAATTTTATTGATTTAAATATTTAGTTCATTGACGTATTTATTTGCTCTCTAGTATCAACATTCAACATAGTATCTATGTTGTTCCTTTAATATATTAGTGTCTAATTTCTGGTGTTAATAATATTCATGCATTATCCGTTACATTTATTCTAGTGTCCATAACACCATTCTAATGAATAGCTCTCTCTTTTGAAAATGAAAATTAGATTTTCATAATATGGGTTTCTATTGTTTAACATCACAAAACTATTCTAGTTGGATTGTTTTCCTATTCAAATGGGCCACCTTTTAATTTTTCATTTTTTTAAGGGCGGGAAGCATATAAATTGGCGGGATCAAATTGTGAAATAAATTTCATTGCTTTTGTTTACGCGATTGGTATTATTGTCGACGACCAACGTAATTGCCGAATTAATTAAAAATAACATCGTTAATTTTCGGTTTAGCGGCATGCCGCCGTCTGCTAGAGTTTTTTTTATACGCTTCGCGCAAGGGAAAGACGGCATTGATTAAAATTTTCTCAAAAATCCCTTGCTATCATCGAAGCAGAGTCGTTTACGAGGTTAGCGCCAAATTTTCCCGGCCTGACATAGATGCAGCAAGTATGTATGCCAGTATCACGATAAAACTTTGTCTTCTTTTAAATATATATCTTAGGCTGCGAAAAGAAATTGAAGTCTTGCGTCAAATAGTTTTTTCTTGATAGCATTTTAAACAAGACGAGTCGGAAAAAATGTCGCAGATAAAGCCAATTGAGTATAGAGCAGTCATAAAGTTTTTGACAAAAGAAGGGTTAGCACCTAAAATTATTAAAAAAATGCTGGATGGTGTATACGGCCAGTAGATGTATAGTGCCGATATAAGCAACAGAAACCGTACATAACCTCAATTTCCTAACCCCCCCGCAGCGGGGGCCCCCCGCGCGTGGCGTCCTAGTGTCCCCCCTGTCTACCAGAGTGCGCTCCGCCCCCCACCCAGCTTGTGTAGCGTCCTGTTTTGCCCCGGTTCCGCCCGTCGCTGCTAGATGTCGCGCGCTTGTGTAGCGTCCTGTTTTGCCCCGGTTCCGCCCGTCGCTGCTAGATGTCGCGCGCTCCGACCGTCGTAGGCCCCCCCGGTAGAGGGCGGTGACGGTGCGGCGCGGTGACGCGGTGGATCGGGAGGATAATTAAATAAACTTGAATTTTAATACATTTTATTTTATTTTATTTATAAAATTGGTCTGGCGAGGAGTTTCTTCTTCTTTTTATGTCGATTCAGTCGACCATCCCATTGTTCCTGTTCCTTGCGTTGTTCTTCTTCCCGTTCCCGGAGGAAATCTAAATACGAAGTGCACTCCTCGCCGTCCCACTCCGTCGACCACCCACCCGGGTACTCCTGCTGCTCCTTTGTTTCTTTTGATCCACCGGGTTGCTCCTGCTGCTGGTGATGTTCCCTTGTCGTTTCATGTCGTACCGGGAATTCTAACCCCCGGTACTCTTTGTGTGATTTGAATATGTGACGCCCTAAGCGATGCGCCAACATAATATGCGACTTGTCATACGGACAAACCGCGATTTTTTCTAGAACAAAACAAAGTATGATATGTAGCGTTTCCTATAAAACACACATTTTTTTTTTTAAACAAAACTTCCAAAAAGGGGGGTTATCAAATAATTTTAAAAATTGTTTTTTAAGTTATACGCGCATACCAAAATTCACGTTTCAATTCACTGTCATTTAAATGTAAGTGTATTATTGTCAAAAGGGCAAACTGCAATTTTTTAGTACAAAAAATAAACAAAAATATGTATATATTTCGCGTTTTCCCCATAAAACGCACATTTTTGAAACAAAACTTTCAGTAATTTTAAAAATTGTTTATTTTTTAAAAGCCAAAATTCCCTATTCACTGTCATTTAAAAGATATTAAAAACGCTCAATTTAATTCGATTATTATTGTCAAAAAGGCAAACTGCAATTTTTTAGTACAAAAAATAAAACATTTTTGAAACAAATTTAAAAATTGTTTATTTTTTAAAAGCCAAAATTCCCTTTTCCATTCACTGTCATTTAAAAGCTATTAAAAACACTCAATTTAAATCGGTTATTATGCAACGTAAAAAAGATGAGTATCATATTTTAAAAACAGGTAGAAACTAACCAAAAAAGTGATAACCCAAACTGAAACCCACAAGAAAAGACGCGCACTGTATAAAGGTAATTAAAATATAAAACTTACCAGTTGTAGGGTCGTAGGGAAATGGACATCGCACTTCTGTATTCATTGCACTGAATATAGTCTATAATACACATGCAACGTATTTATACACATGCACTCCCTTCCATGGTTGAATTAAAAGTCGAAAGGTCTTCTACCCACAAGCACCAACGCCGATTTGAATAGACGCGATGTTGTCGCCAGACAACCGTGCAGGTAGGAGTCTCAAGGTCAACACGCTTTCACACGGGAACGCAACCGCTTCGGACGTTGGACGAACGTATGTTGCCGCAAAAGATCAAGGCCAACTTGCTTTCATTTTTTACAATCTCCGTATGGGATGTGGAATTTCATAACGCGCCGAGTCTAAATGTCGAGTTGTTTTGCTTGTTGAGAATAATAATTAATTGCCCCCTTTATATTTGCTCCGTGGGATTAACGTAATGGGAAAAATTTGTTGCAACGCATGTGGAGGTGTCTTCGTTTGTTAACTTTTAGAAAGTATTCTCGCACCGTATAAATACATCTCATTTTTCTCTGTTTTGTCAGTAGTTGTTTTTGGTATTATTCGTGCAACGTGGAAGCTAACTTAGTAGTTTGGTGTTCGTACAAAAAAGCAGTAAGTACCTTTTTTATTGTCTTATTTTAATTCTTTAACATTTGTTATTATTTTATAAAGGTCCTAAAGATCATCTTAGTACTCTCAACCCGTAACCGCAAATAGAATAGCAGCAATCTTAAGCGTAAGTTTTTTTTATTTTTTTAATTTTGAGATAAAATAATTAATAATAATTTATAGATGGACTTAAGTCAACTGAATCAAACCTGTCTTGCAGAAGGTGATTTTGAGCAGCCGATTGTCAAACTGCATGAATTGCCGATAGGCGTTCCGTTTAAAATTACTAGAGCCAAAATTGTTAATACAAAATTTGGCAATTCCGTGTTGCTGCAATTAGAAAATTCCGTAGTATTTCTTCCTACTCGCGTGACAGAAGCTTTCCGTCCGAGACTAGAACACTTTGCGTCGGGGCAGTACAAACTGGTCTACGAGGGATCCAAAGATATTGGAAAGCCCAACTCTTTAAAGAAATTCAAAATAATTCAAAATTAATCAACATATTATACAGGGTAAGTCTTATTTACTGTTATATATTTAATAAACCACGATGCGCGTAAAGCAGATCATTCATAGAGCGCAAATCTTAATTTTAACCTTACAAAAATTAAAAAAGCATATTTCCGACAAGTTCACTCTTAGAGATAGTGATGTGTGGCTTAGGAGACTAAATAAAAATATTGAATCTTGCAACCAAATCGTTTCTAACGAAAAGGATTTATCTATTGGGTTAAAAAGAAAATTACAAACTACAATTCAACATCTGAAAGCTATTAGAAAAATTATTCTTAATTATCAACATAAGCATTTTGGATTGGGATTACAAAGTAGTAGCCGCGAGACAAACACAAATGAAATGGTTGTATGGGAATCGGTAGCGTCGTGTTTCCAGGGAAGAGTTCAGACTGGTGTCATAATTAATTTACTTCATAAAGATTTAATTCAATTTTTAAACGATTCTCGTCCAATATTTCAACAAAAAATTAGTCAAATTTTAAAGAAATTTTTATTGCTGAAAGTAAATACCACATTTTGCGGTGAATTTATTAAGGCAAAAAATGATGTCCAAGGCGAAGTTGATGTTAAATATCTGAGTACCGGAAATGCTGTAGTTGATTTAGGAACAGAATTGAATGATTGGTTTGTTGAAAATGTGCAAGATAAAATTTTAAATCAAATGTCAGAGTTTCAGGAACGTGATTCCGGGTGGGCTTTAAATAATATTATTTATTTAGAGATTAACATTAATAAATTTGAAATGGGTAACGGGTCATCCTTCGTTGAGTTGCCTAAAGAAATTGCGAATAAAAGGGCTTGTATTAACATTAGAAATGACGATCAAGCGTGTTTTTATTGGTCAGTTGTATGCGGACTCTTTCCAGCACGTTTTCGTCAGTATTTACCCTCTTCATATCCATACTACAAAAGTGTTTTGAAAACTGAAAATTTACAAACACCTATGGAAATGAATAAAATAAGCAAATTTGAAAAAGACAATGATATTTCCATCAATGTTTATATCTTAGAGCTTAATAAAAATGAAAAAACTAGTTTTTATTCCGTGTTACCTGCACGATTAACAAAAGAAAAACGCGAAAAACATTCAAATTTGTTGTTAATACAAAATAAATATTATCCAAAAGTTAATGATTTTGATCCTGATCCGCAAGATAATGATTATGAAGAAATAAAATATCACTATTGTTACATTAAAAATTTGTCTCGATTAGTTTCCTCACAGCTCAGTAAATATAATCACAAGAAATACATTTGCGATAGGTGTTTGAATTATTTCAATAACGAAACTCGTCTACATGACCACGAAACAATATGTTCCAGTTTCAATGAGTATAAAGTGTCTTTTCCCAAATATGATTACGTTGAATTTCGAAACCATATATATAAACAAAGGACTCCGTTTGTAATTTACGCCGATTTTGAGAGTCAATTGAGAAAAGTAAATTTGAAAATTTCAGATAAAACCTCGAAATACCAAAAGCACGAAGCTTACAGTGCTGCATATTACTTTAAATGTTCTTATGATGATTCAATATCATTTTTCAAAAGTTATCGTGGTCTAGATTGTATTGATTGGTTCGTGGAGGAAATATCTAATTTATCAAAATTTGTTCGTTCAAAATTTAAGGATATTATACCAATGGATAGTGAAATTAGTCTAGATCAAAGGTCGAGTCATTGTCATATTTGTGAAAAACCTTTTTTAAAAGAAGATGTTATTGTTCGTGACCATGATCATTTTACTGGTAAATTTAGAGGTTTTGCCCATCAGGCTTGTAATTTAAATTTTAAAAAAATATTTGTAGTGCCCGTAGTATTCCAGAACCTTTCTGGATACGATAGCCACTTCCTGCTTCCGGTTTTAGCAAAAAAAAGCTATGTATCCATAGTTCCGGTTAATAAGGAAAAATACATCTCTTTTACATATTTCGAACCTGATTATAACATAAAATTTAGATTTATAGATTCGTTTAGATTTTTGGGAGCATCTCTGGATAATTTAGTTTCCAGTATGGATAAAAATGAACTATATATTTTAAGAAAAGAATTTTCCGATCTCGACGAATCAAAATTAAATTTACTGTCGCAAAAAGGTATTTTTTGTTACGATTACATCGACCATATAGACAAATTAAATGAAACAACTTTACCCCCGATTGAAGAATTCTATAATAAATTAAGTGAAAGCAATATTAGTGAAGAAAAATATTCCCACGCACAAAGTGTTTGGCAGTCGTTTGAAATAAAAAATTTAGGCGAGTATTCAGATTTGTATTTAAAAACCGACGTTATTCTTCTGGCAGATATATTCGAAAATTTTCGAAAAACTTGTATGGCAACACACGTTTTGGATCCGGCGTGGTATTTCAGTATGCCCGGGTATACATGGGATTGCATGCTTAGATTCACAAAATGTCGTTTAGAACTTTTGCGCGACATTGACCAAATTATGTTTATCGAGCGGGCTATACGAGGTGGAATTTCGGTGTGTGTTGGTAGATATGCGGAGGCCAACAATAAATATATGCCCAACTACGATTCATCCAGGGATGATTCCTATATCATGTACTTTGACGTCAATAACCTCTATGGCAAGGCCATGTGCGAGCCTCTTCCTTACGGAGGATTCGACTGGATGTCTCATCAAGAGATTGATTCATTTAATGTCATGAACATTCCAGATGAATCTTCCCAAGGATATATCCTAGAGGTAGACCTGGAATACCCGCAGAAATTACATGACACACATAGAGATTTTCCATTTTGTGCCGAACATCGAGTGCCCCCCAATTCAAAGTTACCAAAACTAATGACTACTTTGTATAATAAAGAAAAATACGTCATACACTATCGCAATTTAAAACAGGCTCTCAAAAACGGTCTCGTACTAAAGAAAATTCACAAAATATTAAAATTTAACCAATCTCGTTGGTTGAAATGTTATATCGATCATAATAATAAATTAAGAACCCAAGCAAAGACAAAATTTGGTATAAATTTATACAAATTGTTTAATAATGCCGCTTACGGTAAAACAATGGAAAACATTCGCAAGCATCGTATTGTTAAATTTGTTAAAGCGTGGGATGGTCGCTACGGTGCGAAAAATTTAATTTCTAGTCCTAGATTTCACAGTAGAACCATACTTGATAACAATTTGTTGCTTATAGAATTAAAAAAATCGGAACTTTGCTTTAATAAGCCACTTTATATTGGAATGTCCATATTGGATTTGTCGAAAACGACCATGTACGAGTTTCATTATAATTACATGCTTCCAAATTTGGGTCCCGAAAAATGTAAAATTCAATACATGGATACGGACAGTTTCATTTATAATATCAAATGTTATGACGCATATGAAAGCGTTATTAAGGCCGATTTAACAAAATTTGACACGTCTGATTATCCTAATGACAATCCCTATAATATACCGCAAATCAACAAAAAGGTTTTGGGGTTGATGAAGGATGAGACTAATGGCACCATCATTAGTCATTATGCGGGGTTAAGGTCGAAAATGTATACTTTCAAAATTTTAACGGGTTCGGTAGTTAAAAAGTCAAAGGGTATTCAGTACAATATTGTAAAAAATAAAATTTCATTTGATGACTACGTAGAATGCTTAACAAATTTTAGGGAAAAGTACGCCACTCAACGAACCATTCGTTCATACACTCACAATGTATTTAGCATCGAACAAACAAAAGTTGCCTTGAGTCCTTTAGACGATAAACGTTATCTTTTGCCGAATTCATATGAAACGCTTCCGTGGGGACATTATAAAGTGCCGTAATTATTTTTTAATATATTTTTGTTACAGATTATGGTCAAACAACTTACATTAGAAAGCCTTTGTATTATAACAATTTGCGAAAATATTAGGTGTAGTGCTGATTTTTTGCTTGAGTCACCTTTGCCTTGGAAACTAACGATACTAATATTTAAATATTATTCGAAATATAGATGGAAGTACCTTAAACAATTAGCGCTCCAGTCTGATGGCAATTCTTTATTAAATTTAGAATTCATTCTGTTGAATAAGAGATTTGGATCGTCTTACAGAAATAGCATTTTGGCAACTCCAACCATTGATTTTGACGGAGAATCCGCTTACTGTTTATGGGTCAGTTATTACAGGATAAAATATTCGGAAATTTTAGTTTGTAAATCTTGTCACTTTATATTTCAAGTAGTTAAAAAATTTAAAAAGAAAAATTTTAGACTTTTATTGGATCACTATCATTTACAGCTGGATATAAATAATTTGAATGATGTATATCACGATAAACAATTTTGGTGTCAAAGCTGCTTTGAAGAAGTTTTGTTCACTGTAGAAACTGAAGATGAATGTAATTTAATGCTTCACGATGAGAGGAAATATGGAAAAAAGTTACGCTTTTCTGATAGTCCATTGAACTATTAATACTGTGGTTTTATTATAACATATGTAACTGTAGATAAGACTTTTATGTATTGATTGTATTCCATTGTATTGCAACAAGAATAAACATGTATATATTTAGACGCTATTTTCTTTTTTACCACCACCACAACACCGCATAATAATTACACAGAAGTTTGTAATTGTATAATTTATTTATTATATACATTATTACTATTTTACAATTTCGTTAAATGCTAAATTATTAAATTGTTCTAGTTTTCTTTTGCACTCTTGAGCTTGCATCCGCGCCACTTGCAAGTCTGTATTAAAAAGCGCAATTTGTGTTTCAATTTCGTTGATATTGCACTCTAATCCCGACAACTGAGACGCCAAGTTTCTTTTTAAATTGAATGCCTCACAAATGACACTTTTTTCTCTACCGTCCGTGAACACTTCGAGCCAATCAGCGGATGACGTTGGAGCTGCAAACGCTTCACTTGTGGTAGTTTTCTTCTTCTTCTTGCGGGATACGACCGACGCACTTTGTTTTCGTTTGGTCGCAGATTTTTTGGTTTGTTGCTCTACAGGAACGAAGCTGGACGGGAGCACTTCTGATGAAGGAAATTGCAACTCGAAATTTTCCAATAAATTATACAATTCGTTGGATGTCACAATTTTCTCTTGAGCCATCATATACACGTATTTATGTCAGAACTTCTAAATCGAGACTAAATTTATTTCAAAACGTCTACGTTGTCTACCCACGAATCGTGCGACTTATCCAATCCCAACCAGCGCACGAGAACCATATTGCCTCGTCTGCGCAACACCTTTTCGACGAGATATAAGTCCGGGTTAACTGTCTTCTGCAATTCTTCTTCATAAAATCCGCCCATTATGGGTTTACCCTGCATATCTTGAAGCAAATACGTTACGGGGTTAGTAACCCGTACTTTAACAATTTTAAACAATTCCGTGGTCCAATTCGGTGTATAACCTTTGTTGAAAACGTGCTTGACTTTGCTGATTCTAACGATGTCGCCGACTTTAAGTTTACGAGGACCGAATATTTTTATGCTACTATACGCGGTTTTCAAAATTCTCTTTTCGTTGCTCTTACTCACATCGATGGGTTTCGTACCCGTCGTTCTATGTTTTGTGTTATTGTATTCATCAACGATAGAGGCGAGCACATCGATCCATTTGTACGTCCCGCGTAAAGAAAAATGTCGAAACAATTTCTCTTTGAGGGTACGTATCACCCGTTCGACAATTGAGGCCTTTTTTATGCTATACGTACTATAGTGGTTAATTTTATGCTTATCCACAAGTTTCAGAAACGTGTCGTTGTAAAATTCTTTACCGAGATCCGTTTGCAAGTTTTGAGGGTGCCGTCCGTCCTTGAGAATTTTGGAAAACGCCTTGGCGACTTCGACCCCGGTTTTGGTTTTCAACGGGCGACACCATACATATTTTGAGAAACAGTCTATCACAACCAGCACGAATTTAAAATTTCTGTTTTGTTTGCTGTAGCGATCTAATTGGGCCAGATCCGCTTGCCACAGGTCATCCATCCCTCGTATTATAGTCCGGCGGCGAGCATAATTTCTGCGTGCCGGCTTGTGCAGT